AGAGAGAGAGAGAGAGAGAGAGAGAGAGAGAGAGAGAGAAAGAGAGAGAGAGAGAAAGAGAGAGCGAAATGGAGAGTGTGAAATCCATGCACAGCACGAGCAGTAGATTCCACCGCGCTCTGAGATTATGCGATTATGGATGAGAGGCATATTGCCAAACTATTCAAGTGGAGCGTCATGCAAAAGTCACGCCAGGATTAGCATATATATATCTACACTTTTCCGAGACATTCAGATCTGCTGCCAGAAAATTAATAGAAACTATGCAGTATGCACTATTAACTTTTTTTGGGGAAAAACTTTTTAATCGCCAATCATAAATCAGTATTTTCTTGTTAGGCTGTCCAAGCTTTGCTGAGGGAGCTCCCTTATTGCAAGAAACCATGTGAACCCTGCTCACCTTTCACCACTGCGCCTTTTTTAACACGAGAATTTACTAAATTGTCACCTCAGCCCTAACCTTACGAATGGCTACAGCCTACAGTTTTTACTGATTCTGGCACTGCACTACAGGAGTCATCGACACTGCAAGCTAAACTAATAACCACGTAACTCGAGGGCAACATGCATGAGGTACACGGTCAACTGACGTTAGTGTTTCCTTGTTGCACAGGCGACAATGTGAACGCCAGCCACCGCCACTTAGCAGCATGCCTGTGGTGGTGAAGGGGAGAGGCGGGGAAGAGGGCTGTACAAACAGCGACTAAGTAACGGTAACTAGCGCTCTCCCTGATAAGCAATTAAACGATTAATTAGATTTGACGCACAAGCCCATCCCACCCCCACCCCCAGCTCCCGTGATTACCCTTACTAACCAAGTGAGTGTCGACGGACTTCAATTCTGCAAATTGTTTTAAGGAATTACGCGACTTGTTTGCCTTTTATATATCGGCATGACCTCACTTCTTCAGCACTTACGTTGGTTGGCCCTAAATATAACCTTCAGCATTCATGGTCGGATGTGAATTTCCAGATTTCCCAGCTTTAGGTTTTGAAAGAGAACGAGATATTGAGACCTTCCGAAATACAGCAGGCTGCGAAATACAGCAGGCTGGAGCAGAATTTTTCTACTGCAGAATGTTTTTTATGGACCAAACCTCAGCCATCTCACAATAATGTATATATATATGTGATGTTATATGTAATTACCATAAAATGTAAACTTATTTAAAAAAATACAAAGGCGTCACTGTAGCATGGAAGCATACCGGTTTTAAAATGCCGCAATTTAGGAAACAAAGACTGAGAGCTGAACCTAGCAACTTTGCAAACAAAGCTAACTTTGCACCGAGACTGTAGATGCACACCAATCATTGCAATCACAGTACAATATGATGGCCAACCTCCTGCTTAACCTGGAGTTTTTGCCTTTACTTCAGACTTGACCCTGCTAGGTGAACACAGTCACTGTAGGGTGTGAAAATAGTATGTGTAAACTTCAAAGATGATGAAGAAAGCATTGCTATGCTTAGAATTGAAATTAGGACCAGGCATTTAAATGTACACACAGTGAGTTTGGTAGCCAAAAAAATTATACAATGCTCTGCACTTTTCATACCAGAATATGCTCACAGCATATATCATGTTTCTGATGAAACAAAGAAAAATATCCAACTGTATAGATAACTAAACTGATAGCGATAACAACGTATGCAATTGCATAACACCATGCACATTATTTACTCACTGGAGCATATATATATGCTGACCTACATTATAACTTAGCTGTTCAAGCTTTCACCATTCCCCAAATGCACACACTCTATACACACTGAGCCCCCCCCCCACCGTTAATGCTTCAGATTTGCTGCCAGAAATTAGAGCTGAAACTGAAACAGTACTCACAATAGGGAATGCGAAATCTCGTTTCAATCCGCCGGACAGTAGGTTCAGCATTGAGCCAACTTGTGCTCAACCCACTGATTTTTTGCCATTGTTATCGTCAGGTAAAGAACGCCGAGTGACAAGTTGTAGGAAAAAACATTGTTGGATAATGATCCAAGTAGAATTCAACAGACCTGCACGTCAAAACCCGTTTTTTTGTCAGACAGATCTGATGAATTTTGCATTTTCTGGCCCACAGCCTCTGCAGGTGACCGTGTTGCCGGTTGGTTGTGACGGACAATGCAACATATGACACCCGTGTACTGTGCTTTCTCCTTATATGTAAAAGTTAAGGCGCACTGCAGCGACAACGACCAACCGTAACGTTTAGCGTCAAAGTCGCAACCTGCAACTTGTAAACAATGTCAATGGTTTTTAATTTTCCAAAATGTCATTAGACGTGGTCGTTAACTCAGTGAATTACAAAACAAACACCAGATCATCGTGACGTACCGCACTCACTCCGACACGTACAAGTAAGGCTCCCACGCGTAACTACAAGCTTATAAGTTATAACGCATGTTATGCAACACTGGATTACAATAATACCTGTCGCTGCTTCTGCTACTGTCCCAGTTTCGACCGGCTGTTCTTCTTGCTCACACTTCTGAACCTCTGCTGAGCAGCTAGTGTGCGCCGACTTCTCGTCTTTTTTCCCTCCGCCCATGTTTCGATTTCAATACAACAAATACTATCCTAATCTATACAAACAAAATTCACACACACCAAAGTACCACCTGATAATGTTCACGAAAATGTACACGCTTGCATAACGGAGAAATATGAACATAAAGACTACACAAGTTTCCACCCGCTGCAAAACAGAGAAACGTCGCAGAACAATCCCCGGATGTTGACCTCTGACGTCAAACACGGGGTCAATAAACCGAATATTTCTAAATATAAACATTTTTACACAGACTGTTATCTTACATAAATTAATGTATCATTATATGTGTAATATCTAACTTGATAATGACATAAATACTGCTATAAACCATATAAATAGAAACTACGGCAGCCATTTCCGGAGAGAGTATTTACTTCCGGGTTAATGGCAGTAGAGAGTCGCGTGTGGTAAAATAGCACATATTTTCAAGATTATAGCTCTCATATCTGCTTTTAATAGTTGCAGTATCTAAATATTAAACATGACGACTATCGTCGATAAAATCGCCGGAATAGAGGCTGAGGTAACGTTGTCATGCATCGTTTTACTAATAATTATCACTGTAGACTAAGTAAGTGTAACCCGACCAGGCTGTGTGACTAACGTCAATATACAGCCTGACATCCATCCATTAGAAAATCGTGTACCTCTACAAGAACTACCGAACAATTACGTATATTTCAAATAAAATGATCATCTAAGCATTTCTGCCTTGTTTTGTATCAAGTATAACCTTCACCTTATAGTAGTCCAGCGTTGTTATTAAAACTAATGCTCAGTTCGCTGTGCACAGTGTAAATTTCAAGAGCCGAACCGAAATTTCAACCAACCGCCAACCCCCATGTTAAATGTTTCCAATGCGCATGCTTTTCGATCGGAACGCGGAAAACATAGCGTTGCAACTCGCGTTGGCGCGAGCATAAATAAGCATCGCGTCGTATATATATATAAATATTAAAACATTGAAAACCAGGACATCAATCTACAACAACGCGATCTATTATCATTGCGAAGATATGTACTTGCCTTGTGTTTAGGCCTACGCACTGTGAAAATCGGGTCCATTGCCGATTTTAGCTGCACTGAACATGGCGGACATGGCGGCTGTCTGGTTGTTTTGATCCAATTCATCTCAGAAAATACGGCATAACTCGATAAATCAGTAGCGCCCAGTTACCACGAGCAAGCCAGAGGTTTATAGATTTGTTTGAGCTATTACATGTGACGCATATATAGCTGTGTTGATGTTTGGATACCGAGCCAACTACACATTTTTATGGGCAAGAATTTGAAACGGTATTCTAACCCTAGCAATACGTACCATTTCTTGGAGCTATGTAGACTGTAGTCCCTGTAGGCTGTACTACTACTAGTACTAGTAGTAGTAGGCAGCGCCAGTGGCAGTGTAGATTTGGCACGTTCTGATTCGAACACATGCATCACAGGCACTTGGAGCGTTTCAATAAAATATAATGCTAAATAAATACGAAATCTATTTACTACCAAAATCTTAATGTTTCTCTACTCTCTTTCACTTATTATTGCCGACAATTTCCTGTAATTGTAAATGCCGTCCAAATGCTTATCTGCAACACACATGTACACCGCACGCTCGCTGCCGCACACTGACACATAAATATATAGCAGGTAGGAAAGCGTGCTGCCAAAATTCGCCCGACGCTCGCTTGATTTTATGCGAATACAACACAAACATTCAACCATTCCACTCCATCTTTGTTTCTATTTGAAGGAGTTGTTATAAAAACATACTGTCTGTGATTGTAACTGAGCTGTGTCATCCGAAATCACACAAAGCCGGACGAAATTCTCGCGTTCGCTTCCGTTGCGCAGTTTATGTAAATGGCTGCAAGTACAGGGCTATAGGCGGCACACTGCATTTTGGGAAACTACCACGCTGCTTTCCAACTCCCGTACGAGCCTCATCAAAGCCGCCAGTGGAGCGTTGCAAAAATGATGCGTGGATGTGGCGCAAAAATGAGGTCACGAAGAGCGCCGTTGGGTGTTTCCTGATTCCGACAGCCATTTACATAAACTGCGAAACAGGAGCGAACGCGAGAATTTCATCAGGCTTTGTGTGATTTCTCGTGACACAGCTCGGTTACGAACACAGACAGTATGTTTTTATAACAAGTGAACATTGTTCTTCAAATAGAAACAAAGATGGAGTGGAATGGTTGAATGTTTGTGTTGTATTCGCGTGAAATCAAGCGAGCGTCGAGCGAATTTTGGCAGCACGCTTTCCTACCTGCTCAGTGCTATATAATTATGTGTCAGTGTGCAGCTCAGCTAGCGTGCGGCAGCCAGCGTGTGTTGCAGATGAGCATTTGGACGGCATTTACAGAAAATTGTCGGCAATAATAGGTGAAAGAGAGGAGAGAAACATTAAGACTTTGGTAGTAAGTAGATTTCATATTTATTTAGCATTGTATTTTATTGAAACATTCCAAGTGCCTGTGACATGCATTGTCAGATCGGCGAAACTTATCTTGTAATCTCACTAATAGTGACACTATGATCAATCAGGGTTGGCAAGTCCGTAAACTCGGTTCTGACTGCATTCACACATTACCGTTTTGTATTCACACAGGGGGTTGGAGTTAATTATTCCGGAACGATTTTAGCCACTATTGGCCACATAAGGTCACATAAGGAAAAACATAACGATTACGTTGTGTAGGTTTTTTTAGTTTGGTCATGCTGTTTGTACTACGCTGTACTGTAGATGGCCAGAACTCAAAGAAACAAGGCCACCAGCGCTCATCTAGGTCTACTGAAAGCCCGCTTAGCGAAATTACGACGAGAGCTCATCACACCAAAGGGAGGAGGAGGCGGTGCCGGAGAGGGATTTGACGTGGCCAAGACAGGAGATGCTAGAATCGGTTTCGTAGGTGCGAATAGCAGGTGTTAAGTGTGTAAGCCCAAGTTGCATACATGTATATGTGAGGAATTATACCAACGTAGGCTATCATGTACACAGGCACTTGGAACGTCTCAATAAAAAAAATAATGGTACGTCATAAACACGAAATGTATTTACCACCAAAGTCTTGTAATGTTTCTCTACTCTAGTTCGCCTATTATTGCCGATAACTTCTTGTAAACGCCATTCAAATGCTCCTATGCAACACACGAGTACAACGCACGCTCGCCGCTGTGCATAAACAACGAATAAAAGATCTCTTTATTTACCATAATTTTTTTTATTGTGATGTTCCAAGTGCCTGTGATCACGTACAGGTGTGAATCTTCAGAAAATTCCTCGGTTTAGCTGTGTAGAAGATTACCACAAAATACTGTTTTAAGATGTTTTATAATTGTCAAACTTATATATAGTGGCTGCATAAAACTGTTGAAATTTATTTTTTTATTTACGAAGTGCTGTTGTCTTTCTAACATCAAAATAATAATAATAATAATAATTACAATGGTAATAGTAATCTCAAGCAGGCGAAAATAAGTGGTTATTCGCAAATCTCTCTCAAATTGTTTCCCATAAATATAAATAAAAAATATTGAGTTTTAACAGTTTATATAATAATTATTTGTTATTAATATCAGTGAAAAAGATAGCTGTGAGGGGTGGTTGGAGCCTATTATTTGTTGTTGGTGCATGCTTTCATTGTGTAACTGGTCAGTGCAAATTGAAATTGGATTAGGGAAATGTGGAGGAAAGGTTGGGGAATTTCAAAGTTACGTGGCCGTTGTCAGAAAAAGCAGTAGTAGTTATGACATCATAAGTTTGAAACATCATAACTTTGGAAATGAAATGTTGTGCAAAAGTAATGACGCTTAGACTCATGATAGTAATAACTACTCGCGATGTTTCTGACAACGGACCCCTGATCTCCGTGGCAACCTCATCCGTCCTCGTAGGTTTCCCGTCGGTCGGCAAGTCGACACTGCTGAGCAATCTCGCGGGGGTCTATTCCGAGGTGGCCGCGTACGAGTTCACGACACTCACCACCGTTCCGGGAGTGATCAAGTACAAGGGAGCAAAAGTGCAGGTGAGCAGGGCACCGAGAATTCCTCGACGCGAGTCGAACACGCGGGCGGGTGTGACGAACGTTTGGTCTGCAGCCGTGCAGAGCTGTTGCTGAGAGAGCGATTGAGCGCGTTGTTATTGTTATATTTTGCGGATTATTTCGATGATAACCTTATCCTAGTGTTAATTATATATATGCGTTTCAGTTGCTGGATCTGCCAGGTATCATCGAAGGTGCCAAAGATGGAAAGGGCAGAGGCAGGCAGGTCATAGCAGGTAACTTAAATTTTTCTCATAGAACTTTTGCACCACACTGTAAGTGTTGCACAGTGTTTTCCCTGATACAATCTCTGACGAATTTTTTGGCACCTAGATAGATTAGAGATGAATGTAGAATCAGGCGAGCATGAATCAATTATAAATACTAATAAATAACAAGCAATAATGAACGAATACGACAAACGTAAACGTCAACGAGAATGTGACAATGTTGTGTATTAGCACGGATGCTAGCTAACACGATCATGATTCAATTATAAATACTAATAAATAATAAAAATAATGAACGAATACAATAGGTGTAAACGTCACCAAGAATGTGACATTATCGTGTGTCAGCCCGGACGCTAGGTAACGCGATCCAATGACGTGGTAAGAGCGACGTGCGCGCTCGTTAACGCTGAAGTTGTGTTGACGCGGTGCTTCGTTCTCCTGCTCGCAGTCGCACGCACCTGCAGCCTGATCTTCATCATTCTCGATGTGCTGAAGCCTCTCGTACACAAGCGTCTCATCGAGCACGAGCTCGAAGGCTTCGGAATTCGTCTCAACAAGAAACCGCCGAACATCTACTTCAAGAAGAAGGACAAGGGCGGCATTAACCTGAACGTCATGGTGGGTTGTGACACGATCCGCGTGAGATGCTACTCACCGGTAACAATCGGCGGTTAGAGCTCTTGCCAGTCAGCGTTTTGATGCGGGCATTCTAAAAATGCTTCGTGACGAAGTTACGCAAAGTCAAAGTTGCACTTAAACAAGGGCGGCATTAATGTGATAATTGTGGAAGTGGTGTGAAGTCATCTAATTATGCGATAAGTCCGAAATTATTGCCGATACGATGGTGTCGCGAATCGATCTGCCATCTTTGGCGAGGACTGTGACTTTGACTCGGTATCCTGGTTCTGCTCGTGAGCGTATCGGTGAAGTATGATGTACTTTGATTCTCTGTATTATTGCTGTTGTGCTCGTATGGAAAACTTGATTGATTTGTGATTCTTTGCTTCACTCACAGACAGTGCAGTCGGAGTTGGATCTAGAATTGGTACGAACAATTCTCAGCGAATACAAGCTGCACAATGCCGATATCACTCTACGGTATGACGGTTAATTCATAGTGTCTTCCACGTGACTGTCTGACGCTACAATTTTTTCATAGGTTTCATATATATAGAATAGATATACAGTCAAGCAGTCATGTATTAGCAGGCACCTCTGTAGAAAGGACTATAAAGTCCACACACGTAGAAGACACTTGACATTTCCCTTTAGTGGCAGTTATACACTAAAACCACCTCTATAGAACAGCCGCTTGTCCTAGTACGACAGTCTCGCAGTGCGATTACTCGACGAAGATCGGCCGACGAGATTTGATTCTTAATGCAGTTGCTTCTTAATGCAGCGGATGTTTGCGGTGGAAAAACCACGCGGTTTGTGGCGCGCGTTGATTGTGGTGGCGTGATCGTGTTTCAGCGAGGACAGCACGTCGGAAGACCTCATCGACGTCGTCGAGGGCAACCGCATCTACGTTCCCTGCATATACATCCTCAACAAGATCGACCAGATCTCCATCGAGGTAACGCCTCGCCGCATCGTCCATCGAATCTCTCTTTCATTTCCCTTTCCCTATCCATTATGTACAGGGTTGACTGTATAAGCTGTTGCCTGTAAAGAATTATAGGGATGTGACGTAGGTTCTTACAGGCATAAATACGAACATCTAGGTTGGCCGGACGGCATATTATCGGAAGGTCATGTTCTAGACTGAGGTGATTATACAAGAATCTCAATCGACTCGCTTGCGAAGAGTAGAGTCTGGGAGATTCATGTAGTCTGTTTACTGATGTGTGGCAGACAGATGCCTTTCGATTGTTTCTCTCAAGTCTTTCCTATTCTTTGGTTGGGAACGAGCGAAATTTTTCAGGGCGAGTGCGGATGGGGTGGTGTGGAAATGTTTCGAGTGAAGTGTTGTGCTTGATCTATCTGTGCTAAGAGCTTGATATCATCTATAAGTTTGACTTGTCTGTGTTAGGAGCTTGATATCATCTATAAGTTTGACTTGTCTGTGTTAGGAGCTTGATATCATCTATAAGTTTGACTTGTCTGTGTTAGGAGCTTGATATCATCTATAAGATCCCACATACTGTGCCGATATCTGCTCATCACAAGTGGAATTTTGACGACCTGCTGGAGAAGATGTGGGAATACCTCAATCTGTGCCGCATGTGAGTGAAATGTGCTTCTCTGCAGTCTCTCTCTCTTTCTCTCTCTCTCTCTCTCTCTCTCTCTCTCTCTCTCTCTCTTTCTCCCTCCCTCCCTCCCTTCCCCTCTCTCTGTCTTTCTCTCTCTCTCTTCCTTGCTGCCTCTCTCTCACTCTGCTCTGTTTCTAACTCTCATGCAGACTGACATGCACACACCCTCCTCTCTTCGATGACTGATAATGAAGTGTATAATAGTGACGTGATAATATTTAAGGCCACAATTAAAAAAATCTTTGTTTGCCCTCACCCGACCCAGGCTGAAAAGTTTGGGTAGGTAGGTAGGCTTTTATTTTTTTTGAGGGGGTCTTTTTACTAATTTAGCATGGTGTCTACATACTCGGGTGTGCTTGTGTGGAGATACCTTTTATGTTGAATGTTTGTTTTGCTTGGTACATAATGTATTGCCTACAGATTTGTACAGTGATACAATTTGTAAAAAAAAAAGAATGGGAAAGATCAATAAAATTGTTTGAGTCGGCCCCCGTTTTGGCGGATCGGTCGGGTGAGGGCAAACAAACAATATCTTTATTATGGCTAATTCATTGTCGGGTGTTTCACAGTTACACAAAGCCAAAAGGACAGCTTCCCGACTACAACGCTCCCGTCGTTCTGCAGAACGAGAAGAAAACCATAGAGGACTTCTGCAATCAGCTTCACAGAAACTTGATGAAGGAGTTCAAATAGTGAGCATTCATTCCATCGTTTAACTGCTAACGAGCTGAGAAGCTTCGCGGGGCCGTTTCACCGCTAGTGCCATGTCAACATCGACTCTATCAAGCCGTCAGCTGACAAGCATTGTCGATTTTTTTATGTTCGCATCTCTGATATGTCACTGAACGATTTGTATCACATGGCAAAACTGAGGTCCTGCGTTGAGGTCTCGTTTCGTGTGAAGTCGAGGTGCCAATTACAGTAACACGCCGAAATAACTTCTCGACTAGAAATATGTAACCGTAACGGGAAAAAATAAAAATTTATTTTTCGGGGGCTACTTTTCAAGCTTGCGTGCATGAAAACAGCACTCTAAAATTTGGTTTGCATTGAACTCTATGCAAATTTACGGGGGCTCTTTTTGGCATTTCCGGGGCTCTTTTTGGCATTTCGGGGGCTAAATCGCCCCGAGCCCCCGTGTATTTTTTTCACTGAACCGTAACGAACGACGACTGACTCTATATTTGAGAGCGAAATGCTCGCAAATCTCTCCCACGCCGTCGACCGCGAGTCGTGGGGGAGCGTCTGTCCGGCGTCACGCCTCTCCTCCCGTCCTAGTCGTCAAGCCTGCGATCACGTCTCTCTTTCGTGTGTTTGCAGCGCCCTCGTGTGGGGCTCGTCGGTGAAGCACAATCCGCAGAAGGTCGGCAAGGAGCACGAGCTGGAAGACGAGGATGTCGTGCAGGTCGTGAAGAAGTAGCGAAGGTCAAGGTCACACGTGCAGCGTTCGAGGTCACGTCAAGGTCGCTCGGCCGTTACGTCGCAGCGGCGCAGGGTGTTTCTCAGTCTGAGATGCTGTACATACAACCTAGCAGCGAGGGGAGGAGGGATGAGGGAGGGGGGCGATGTTAGCGTCGTACGCCGTGCGTTGCTCGTTTGCGTTTGCGTCATGATGCGCGTGTTCAGCGGGCATTTTTATCCGGGTTCCGAACTGACCTACCCTCCTGGCGTGAGTGACCGCCAGCTTCGGCCAACCGTCGTTACGTCGTTACGTCCTAAATCGGCACAGTCGAGTTTGGCCGAAAACTCATGCAAATCGGATTGTCTTGACCGAAATAGCGGAAACATCCAAAGGTGGTGCAGTTGTCTTTCTCAGTAGGACAAGATACGTCGTTTCTGCGGTTATTAAATTAGCGCGAAGGAAGTTGCTGGGCGAAGCCAGAGGGATTTACTGCAGTTGGCAATATACTGCGCACGTGTACATGCAATATACTGGTTACAAACGTACAGCTTCTTCCATCTCCATCGACAAGCAGCAGCCCTGTTGAGACAGGATATATCAACCGATCTCCAATCGCTATTTTTGGAGAATTTAATATACTTGTGCATATTGTTTTCCTGAATGCAACCATCCTGTTCTACGCTGTAGCATGAACGCCTGTCTGTGAAGGACTTTTGGGATTTTCTTTATACAGCCCTCGTATGTCGTATACAAGTTTGACTGTATATGGCATGTGAAGTAGTCCTGATCCTTACTGGGATAATATGACAGTCTAGGTTGGCCAGACAGTATGTTATCAGGAAGTTGTGTGCTAAAGTGTACTGGGGAAATTATACAAGAACGCTCGTGTTCTCTCTGTTTTAGGCGGGAATCGAACAGTTTGAGGTGCGAGATTAAATCGGACGCTTGTGCGTGACAAGTATTGCGTGAATTGCAGTGTGTTTTGGGGGGATTCGTTTATCTTGAGAATGACGACGGCCGAGAATTTATAGGAAATTGGTGAGAATAGGAGACAGCTATGGCGCGTGGTCATACTTATGTCCCAGCTGCAATCACGAATATATGTATAGTCGGGAGTAAATAATCGCAAATAAAAATGTGTGATTATTTGTTCCTGATGCTGTCTATACATACTCTGCGTAATATCAAGAGCATGTCGACCCCAAGTCCTGTCTACATGCTGGTGATAACCCACGTAGCGTACATATGTTCGTGGTACTGTTATTTATAGGGTTTTATGAGGTTTATCATTGCGCATGCTGCTTTGAACCTGGTGCTGAAATGTCAGTCATGCGGAATTGTATTTTCGGCCACTAATAAAAGGCATCATTTTTTTCATGCATCTGTTGGAGTTTGCAAATCAATTCTATATCGAGACAAAAACAGCGTGTTTTGCATTGACTTTTATGTAATATATTACATGATCAAGTACAGAGCATAATTCAGACGTTGGTTTGTATAATATCAAGAGTACATAATAGGAGAAGAGTATGACACCGTTTTAACAGCGTTTTGCATAGTTTTCAACTTGTAAATATTCTATCAATATGTGAATAAATATATTCAAACTTTACCTTGTTTTCGTCCATGATTCTCCCTTAATCATATGACACCACCAATTTACCTGAAAATCGTATGTGTTCTTCAAAAAGGTTCTTTGAATACGACACGGTTTCAAACAGTTTTCACGAATGGACGCATGTGTTCGGTGAAAGTTTATTATCATTTATGGGATTAGTGTTCTATTCTCTATCTTGTATCTTGGTTACAACCTGGTGCTGCCGTCGCATAACTTTGGCATAAACTTTCGCCGAACACATGCGTCCATTCGTGAAAACTGCTTGAAACCATGTCGTATTCAAAGAACACATACGATTTTTAGGAAAATTGGTGGTGTCATATGATTAAGGAATAAGGGAGAATCATAGACGAAAACAAGGTAAAGTTTGAATATATCATATTGATAAAATATTTACAATTTGAAAACTATGCAGAACGCTGTTAAAACGATGTCATACTCTTCTCCTATTATCTACTCTTGATAATATGTATCACTATAACAATTTTACCCTACATATATATTGTATATAACCACAAATATATCACTAGTGATCTATTTTCTGCAGTAGTTCGCATTCACTTACTACAGTTACTCTAGTTTCCCACTAATAATTTTTAATATTTAATTTACAAATTAATTTAAAGCTGTAGGATTATAAAAACGAATGCAACTATATATATATATATGCAGACGTAAAATCAAAACAATAAAATGTTAAAAAATCACAAATGTACGTGAGGTAAGGGGTGTTAGCTCCTTCCATTAAACAAGCATGTATGCATGGGGGTAGAGGGTAGGTAAAACATTTATTTACTGTACACACAGTACAGTCACATGCATGTAATTGTATAATTACCCAACGAAAAGAGACGTAAACGTGATTTCCATACGTCACTCGAACGACATCAGCCAAAAAACCTTACAATTACGGTCCTATCATTAATTGATTGATCCAGCAACCAAAATAAAAGATTATCCTTCTGCATGCATTTGTTAGTACCCTGCTACGTATTCCTTATACCTACTCACACCGGTATCATATATCTTCCTCACATAACAACTAGGCCCTGTAAAATTCCTGTAGCTCAGTAACTTCTTGAAAAGCACTAGATCAGCTAGAAGTGCACATATCAGGAGGAAGATAACTGTTACATACATATTATATATATATATATATATATATGCATTTATGAGAATAACATCATAAACCAGTTACCACATCTCGACATCACACCTGGTACAGATGTCTTCTGCCTAACCATCTACATATCAGGTGCAACCTGGTTCAGACTATCCGGCGCCACGGACCACCGAGCCGACGCGTCGCCGTCCCCGCCCTTAGCTCCTGCCGCCACCAGCTTCCCCGGAGACTGCCTCCCGATGGACCTCCTCAGCAGGGAGTGAGACCTTCTCCTGGGCTTCCCCCCGGAGCGTCGCGCGTCCGACCTCCTCGTCGTCGGCGTCGGAATGTCGTCGAAATCCTGGAACCCGTCGTCGGTCGGGGAAGTTGACGTGAGGTCCCTCGGCGACGGGGTCTTCGTGTTCTGGAATGTTCCGGATGGCGGGGAGTGAGGACGCGACACGGAGAATTCTTCGCGACTCGACGTTTCGTCGATTTTTTAAGGAAAGAATTTTGCGCAGGTCGATGGGAGGCGATGTGGCATTGTGCCTACGTGCATACCATACATGGATATATGATAAAATCCCACTAGCTAAGAATTAGCTAACTGGCTACTAACTACAACTATTATATAGCTATTATATAACACTGCAACCAGTACTAACTACAGTGAAACATGTATGTAAGGGTTACTCAACAGGTTCTGAGAGGTATCTTTTATAGACTGGTTTCGATTCTATCGAGCTGGTTTCACTCTATAACAGTCACTCAGAGAGAATGCCAAACGCATCCTTTCTAGACAGGCATCCACTCTAAGGAGACGTCGACTCTCGGGCAGGTTTGACTCTAGTTATTGGCTGGAAATTCAAGAGGTCGGGGCCATGCCGAGGGTTCCTTCACCGAACACGGCTGCCGCTCACCTCGAACTTCTTCTTCAAGGCACGCGTCATCGTCGGTGTGAGACCCTCCCCGCATTCCTCCACGTTCCTCTTCAGCGGGGTTCCTCCCGGGCTCCTGCAACAATGAGAGGATAGGCAGCGAGATGAATGACGTCGCCGGGGCCGACGGGGATTCTCGAGGATGGGCAAGGACACTCAAGAATGGGTGGTGATGCTCGAGATCCACCAGACGTGTGTGGGTATCGTCCAGATATTTTCGCGTTCCCCATCACTTCGACCGTGGGCGGTCGTGCAGACGGACCCTCCTGCGCCCCCTCCCCCCCACTCACCAATCGACGTGTGTCCGATCTTCCTGTACCTCCATCCCCTCCCCCTACTCAACGATCGACCCTCCCCCTCCCGCTACTCACCGATTGATGCAAGACCGACCCTCCTATACCTCCACCCCCTCCCCCTCCCGCTACTCACCGATCGACCCTCCCCCCCTACTCACCGGTCGACCCTTTCCCCTCCCGCCTTACTCACGATCGACCTCCCCCTCCCGCTACTCACCGATCGACCCTCCCCTCCCGCTACTCACCGATCCGATCTCTCCTCCCGCTTACTCACCGATCGACCCTCCCTCCGCTACTCACCGAATCGACCCTTCGCCTCCTGGCTAGTAGATGATGTGTGACCAACCTCTTATACGTCATCCCCTCCGTACTTCACGATGACCCTGCCCTCCCGCCTACTGCACGATCGCCCTATCCCCTCCTATACTCCATCCCTCCCGCTATCACGATCGCCTCCCCTCCCAGTACTCACGTATCGATTGACGACCGACCCTCCATATACCTCATCCCCTCCCCCCTCCTACCTCACCTGATCGACCCTTTCCCCCTCCACCTACTCACGAGCGACCCTCCTCTTCCCGCTACTCACCGAACTCGACCACCTCCTCCGCTATCACCGATCGACCCTCCCTCCCCCTACTCACGATTGAACCCTCCCCCTCCCGCTCTACTCACCGACGAACCCTCCCCTCCCGCTATCTCAACGATCGGACCCTCCCCTCGCAGTACTCGCGATCGACCCTCCACTCCCGACTAACTCACCGATCGAACCTTCCCTCCCGCTACTCACCGATTCGCCCTCCCCTATCCGCTTACTCACGTCGACCCTTCAAACTCCCGCTACTCACCGATCGACCCTCCCCCTCCCGCTACTCACCGATCGACGCGCGACCGCTTGAGGCCGCTGCGGAAGTCGCCGCCGCCGCCATTCTCCTTCGAGGCGCGCCGGCCGACGGACCGGCGCTTCTTCTCGGACGACTTCAGCGTGACGGAGCGGAGAGCGTCGAGCGTAATGAGGGGCGTGCGCAGCTTCCCCTCCGGCGTGCCCTGCAACAACACCAGGTGGCGCATCAGTTGCCGCCGCACGCGTGGAGAAGGACGTGGCGGGCTCGACGTACGTATAACGACGGGACGAAGACGATGGGTTGACGGACGCGAGGTGACGTCACATGCGATAACGTAGCTTATTTAGGGAATGAGTCGCGTCACTCAGGGGCCTATTGTCAGATATGTCGTAAATTCTTACGACATCACGAGAAGAAAATGTCACAGCTTTTTTTCCAGAGAACTGTTGTGTAAAAGTCGGGCATTTTACACTGATGATACTCATTACTATTAATGTTTCTGACAATGGGCCCTTAATTACACTGCTAAGTGAAACATCCATCCCACGAGGAAACTGAGTGCATAATTGGGTGCTCGACAAGTGGGACATAGATGATGAGCGAACTCACGGGAGTAGCGGTTTTCGCCGGCGACCTCTTCTTCAGCTTGACCTTTTTGATGTCGTCCAGGCTTATCGAAGGCAGACTCGCAGCTGCCGGCTTCTCTGCCTGTAACCATGGAGACCGTCATAGCAAACTCAGATCCACTACACCAGGCATCGACGTTTAGTTCATATTTGGTTGGGCTCTCATTAGTCAAATGGAGTTTACTTTTAAGGCGCTAAATCGGCATTTATTAGACTTACAAGACTCAAAAACAAATAAATACCTTCTTGCTCTTCTTGATCACAGGCTTCTTTGATGAATTCAACTTGCCAGGGGGAGGTGGGGGAGGAGGTGGAGGTGGAGCTGCTTTCGGAGGAGGAGGAGGAGGAGGAGGAGGGGGAGGAGCTGCCCCTACACATGCAGCCTGCGGCAAATGACCAGCCAAATGTCCCGCGCATTTTTCGCAGTACTGGTGGTCTGGCTTTGCAGATACTACCTGAAAACAGTTGCAACACACACCATGGTCCTGACATATAGCCTAAAGCATCGCAGTCTAGCTGTGCTGTAATCATAGATGGAATATAAATATATTTATATATATATACACAAGTGTGAGTGTGCCTGCTTGCGTGCATGCATGTGTATGTGTGTGCGCATACACATGTATATATACCTCATGATCAAGCTTCTGTTTTTTCAAGCCTTGTAGCTCTATTTCTAGCTGCTCAACTCTGGACATGGCATCATCTAGGTCCCTCTTGTAACGCGTCGATGGAAAAAGTACTTGTTGGGTGGCATTCCACGCCTGAAAGGTGAAACTAAAATGTGAGCTCAGAGTGCAAAATCATCTGTACTTCGTTATGTATGCAATACCATAAACATATCTATACAAAATTGTATAGCATTGTATGGATTGTAAAAATGTGTTATTGGTAGTACCAAAAATAAACCATCTAGAGTTCATGTTTTTGTACCGTACCTGCGAGCTCGATTGGCATTAAATGAGTCTTAATACATTGATTGCTCACATCTGACACATCTTTTCTAATGCACACCAAGAACGAAGTGAAGGGGAAACCTCGAAATACGAGCATTACTAAATAGCAGTATCTACAAGCGCCCCGCATCGTCGACTGTACGTCCCACATCTTACCGAGGCCGTTAGCGAATAGCACCAGTCGAGAAGAGAGCCCACGGTCCAAGCTAGTCCCACTACAACACTCGACACTCCCAAGACTACGCTAGAGCAGTGCACCCAGTCGTGACCCGTTCGGCACGTGCCCGCGATGCGTCGGACTCCGCTCTGCGACCTTCGGCAAGCGAACAAGGCGTGAGCGAGGGGACGGTCTCGCGCTTACCTCGGACACTTTGGTCTGGCACCAAGCGAGCGCTGACTCTACGGGGCGGTGGAGGTCGGAGGTCGTGATCCAGCCGGCGGCGTCCAGGACGCTAGAGCAGTTCAGCTGCACCTCACTCGTGTTTGCCGAAGACCTACGTCAAGTGTGGATCGCGATGCAATCAGCCCGAGTTCACATCGTGCGAGTTAGTTCTACGTGTGTAGCCCTTCCTGCGGCAACGGTGAGGGGGGGGGGAGGGTATGCGTGTTGAGCTACGCGTGGGTGTCTGAACGGTATCATCAGTATTTATCCTAATAATTATTATTTGGATGATTGACTTGTCATATTATGATCATCGTTAGGGTCACATTTAGAGTAGATGATGGTACAGTGCATTATAGTGTGCAGCACAGAGCTCTGATCTTAATTGTTACCATTTTGCTTCCCAGATTTCCACATCTTCCCAGCAGTCACTGTCTGCGCTAGGTCCGGCTTGCGCTACATCAGTGACATCCGTGTCCTGCCTTCTTCTTGGTATTGTAAGCGGTCTAAGCGATCGTCGCCTGGCAATGCGCATAGCCATGCTGATGATCTAGCAGTCGTTAACTAGCTGCTGGGAAAAACACCAAAATACTATCACTGATACTGATAGTGATATAGCTCCAGGAAACGGTATTGCTAGGGTTAGAATACCCCTAGGTATTCTAATTGGTGTATACACCCTTATTGGTGTATTGACGTTAGTCACACAGCCTGGTCGGGTTAATAGTGATACTGATAGTATCAGACATGTGGGTGGTCACATGAATAATTAATACATTAGCGTTGGCATTAAATGTTGCTGCGTCAGTGACACGTACACTGTGACTATACAGTATACAGTGTACACAGTACACATTGAATAACAAATTACAATAACCTCACTCCGTGGATGTTGCAATATAATATTAATAATAAAATAATAATAATAGTTATTGATTGTACTGCATGAGTAGTTATAGAAGTTGAACTGATAGTTAAACTATAAGTATAGCCCTTCGCTGAGGTCAGGCTAGGGATATAGTTCTAGAGCTGTATAGCTGAGTTCTAGCCGTATTCACTGCCATTAAACTATAAAATATAAATTAAAATTACCGCAAAATCGCGCAAGTCTGTAGCTCTCTGACATGAAACGTTATGCTGTTTTGAAATTTGCGCGCCCACTTCTAGTAGACTGGTTCCCAAAGCTGGTTCCCTAACTTTCTAGACTGGTATTCGCTCCCACCTCAATTACTCGATGGGAGCCGAGAGCTCGATTACTCGATTACTCCTAAGCCGAGAGGTGAGACCGGGTACCCGTCTACTAACTTTTGGGCGCCGGCGCATGCGCAGTGAAGCAAGACGAGCAGTGCTCTCTGTCAAGATGGTCAAGGTAGAGGACAGACACTGCATTAGCTGTCGTCTGGCAGTCCTGCCGGGTACCACACTGTATCAAACAGATTGTATTTATCAACTCCTGGTTCAATATAAATGCAATTTTTGTTTTATTTTTTTCTATAAAATATTCACAATTTTTCTTCTAAAAAACTATTCAATATTACGTTACTAGGTGGCGGTACACGCGCTGATTGGCAACTACTAACTAGGCAATATGGCGCTGCCCGTGAACATACACGCTTTCGTTATTAATTTGTAGTTGGATTGAAATGTGCTAGTTCTAGCTGATAAATATACACGTACGATGCAATTCGCTCGGTTTTTGCAATTGAGGATCGGTTTACGTCTTCAAGTAGGTAATCTATATACACATAATTTATGCAAAAGGCATAAACCGACTGTAAACCGTTGGTATAGCAGTTTCGTAGTGAAAAAAAGCGATGTTCTTCTACACAATTCACATAATCGGAACTGTCCACGAATCATCGGGTTCGGTAAACGGTAAGTCAGGTGCTCTATCGCTAACGGCAGTCTCATTACACGGGGTTATACCGTGTCGATGATTGCCAGCACAGTGTTAATCGTATACTGATTACTGTTATTGTTAGTGACAGTGTTAGTGTTACTGACTGTTACTGTTAGTTTTACTTCATGTTACTGTTAGTGTTAGTGTTACTATTAGTGTTACTGACTGTTAACTTGGTGTTACTGTTAGTGTTACTGTTAGTGTTAGTGTTACTGACTGTTAGTGTTACTGTTAGTGTTATTGTTAGTGTTACTGACTGTTACTGTTAGTGTTTGTTGCTGATTTCTTCTCAGTTCTTTGCTTAATTGTAAAATTGAAACTTCTAGTGCAATCCACAGTGTTGCTCTATCGATTTAATCAACTTTGACTCTGTCCATCTTCTGTATAATTTATTGGGCTTCAAGACTAATACTACTTAGGAGGTTACGAGGTTACTACTGTGCTAGCGACCATTAATTTCTCTGTTCATACACTGATACAGAGCCACAGGGCTTGAATTAAGCGGCGAGAAGGGCAAGGCAATTTTTTTAGGGCACGTGAGAAATCGCCTTGAATTTTCTCTAAAATGGAAGGGCACAGAGGCAATTTTAAAAGGCACCAAGGCAACTTTCAAAATTTGAGAAGGGCACCAAGGCACTTTTGTAAAATAAAGGAAAACTCATAACAAATTAGTACATCAACATCGTCTTGCTTTTAATGTACAAAACAATATGCCCCCATGTAAGCTTACACCGTAACACCGACCCTTGTACCCCCCTCTGCTAATGGAAGTACAGTAACAATAAATTTTATATGCCCGCTATCAGGAGTGAATAATTATCCGATGCTGTTATTGTTCCCTCCTGCGACTATCGGTTTTAAGCTCATTGCAACTACAGCACGCACGCGCACGTGTTATGTTGATTCGACTAAAAACGAAACTAGGGCAGTAGATTAAAGGGCACCGACGGCAATTACACAAAAGGGCAAGGCAGGTGACTGCCGTCGGTCGAGTTGGATTTTCAGGGGCAGTACGGCAATTGATAGGGGCACCGACGGCAATTGCCGTCGGTGCCGTCGGTTAATTCGAGCCCTGCAGAGCCATCTCTTTACTTTACAGGTCCATGTGCACAAAAACATCAATAGATCTAAAAGACAAATATCCGCTACAGTACCAGTACCTGGAGACGTGCCAAGGAGTTTACGCATCTGTGAACAATGCCGTATCCCAGGAACTGTCTGAGAATGAGAACAGTCGTGTATCGGAATACTGGTCCAGTTCCAAATACGTTGGCGTCAGTGCCAACTTGATGGTTTCCTACATTGATACAGGTATAATCCTCCAAGAATCAAGTAGAATACTGCAATTGAACTTGTGCCAGAATGGCCATGCATTGGCTTGGTCAAGCAGTAATTGCATGAAAAAGATATCAGTTGAGAAAATCAGATATGAATACAACTTCCTGAGTAAACCGTGGATTGCAAAATGCATGTGTATTCAGGAGGTTCCGATATGAATTCTTGAAGTAAATCATAAATGTTTAAGTTTTATTTGAATACATCTTCAGTCTGTATATAGATGTAACTGTTCTACAAAGAAGTCGTTGTAATTTCTGCCCCTTGGTTTCCATATTTCAGCCAACACGACAGAGGACCTGAAAAAACCTGTTATAATATTGGTACACGGCGCTCCCGGCTCTCACATGGGCTTCCTGCCACTGGTAGACAAGCTGGAACCCCATGCACGCGTGATAGTGCCAAACTTCCCAGGTAACACGGATGGGAGGAGTTTAAATTATTGCAATTTTGATTGGCGACAGTATGTGCAGGCTCAGCTTAACTTTCGTGCCCCATTTTTAGCTCACCTTGACATCGTCAAGCTGAGCTATTGCCATGGGTCGTCGTCCGTCGTACGTCCGTCCGTCCGTCCGTCCGTCCGTCAACATTTCGCTTCGGTCAACGATAACTCAAGAACTGTTTTACCCACATGTTTGAAATTGGGTATAGTTGTTACTGCTATGCTCCCATATGGAACGTCATATTTTGGAGCACGCCAGTCGACGTACTTTCGAGCCACGGCAATTTTTTGGCAAAAATGGGAATTGCCATTAATCAGTTCAGGTTCAACGGATTTTGCTCATTTTTGGTATGTGAATGAATAAGGGCTAGGGGTTTTGATATTTAAAAAAAAAATTATGCAAATTAGATAGGTTTATGCAATTTATGCAAAAAACGCAGATAACAAACAGTCTGTGGTGTCACACTCGTCTGGTTCGTTTTACAAGATTTCATTGACAATATCTTTAATGCAAAATTGGTATTTCCTTTTCACCCTGCCGATAAAACGTCTATATTAGAGTAAAGTTTTACAAAACATGTCGGAACGCAGCATAACCTATTTATTTCGAACGCCATCGCTACAAAGCGGGTATAGCGCCATCTACTGTCACAAATTGTGATTCATTTTGGTTTATAAATTATTATTGCGATATACAGATGGCAACCGTGTGCTACCGCCTAGAAAAACTCATACGAAGTAAACACTTCCATGCAACCAATTAACCTTTGACAAAAGTTGTGTTATGGGCAGGGAAACACCATTGTCACGTGGTACATAGCAGCTACGTGGAATAAGCGTATCCTCTCAATCTTACACATTACACATCGGGAGCTCCGCTTTTAGGCAGTGCCTAAATCTGAATATTATAAAAACGTTATTTGTGGTGAGCTACAGTGTCATTGACACTTTCATTTAAAGATCGGTTTAGAGTTAAGTTTGGATTACGGTTAGGTTATGGTTTTTGTTACGGTTAAGTTAGAGTTGCAGATAGGAACAGGGTTCGGTTAGGGTTGTGTTAGGGATAGGAATAAGGTGATGTCCTTCGATATCGTCGTTGTGTACATGAAATGCTGCAAACATGGGAATTGAGATGGTGATTTCTGTGTGACAGGTTACGGCTTCACGGACATGGATGATGACGGGTATTTCCAGCATTCTATTCCGGAAAAGGTTGAATTGATCGTTGACTTACTAGGTGCCCTCAAAATCAAGAGGTATCAAGCGATGATTTTGAAATGGATTTTCTTTGTTTTTTTTTTATCGATGTTCATAGCTGTTTTATGAACAGCTCAGTATCTGCAGATTTGTTCCCTGGAGGTTGGCTAAAAATTTGGTTTATTTCTGGTCGAAAAGAAGTTATCAATGTGTGAATTGTGCTGCCAACTTTCTGTCAAAGTAAAAGTCTGGACATTTCTTCTGGTAAGGCACATCATGTTATACATGTTCAAATGCACATGTGACATGACTATTGTAGCTCGGTCAAGCTATCTTTCCTGTCAGCAAGCAGGAAAAGCCATGCTAGGGATGGCGATGTGTCTTTCTCCTTTTCACTAATCCCATAGGACTCCACCGTTTACTTCATAGTCCTCTTCGCTGTCCTTCTGTACTCACTTAATCCTCTTCGTTGCTCGAGGAGCATAAGACCCGTAAATTTCGCTCTCTGTCAGTAACCTGCGGCCGTTCTGCGCAGGGTTGCGATGGCCATCGGTCACAGCATAGGCTCCTTCCCCGTGCTGCTGTTTGCCGCTGCTCGGGTGCCAGGTCTCCCCGTCGAGTCGGCTTTCTTCATGAATCCCACCGGACACATACCGTGGAGGTGAGAGAGCGGGGCGGCGGGCGAGGGAGGGAGGAATGGGGCGACTCGTGGAGGTGAGAGAGCGGGGCGGCGGGCG